AATCCCCTCATCCAGGTCATTGATAAAGATATTAAACAAGACCATCCCTAGAACTGAGCCCTGGGAGACACCGCTTGTGACCAGCCGCCAACTGGATTTAACTCCATTCACCACGACTCTCTGGGCTCGGCCAAAATAGTTGCCAATGCTATACAAAAACATACTCATATATATTTTTTTCCTCATTTTTCATTGAGCTTTCAAAACTTTGTCTTTCAAGCTCCAAAGAATTTATAAAAAATAATACAGTTAGATACCTTAAAAGAAGATACTACCAATAATGAAGATTTCACAATGAAAATATCTGAAGAAACATTAAATCAACTTCATCTTCAGTTTTAGTTGGTGCATTCATAGCTGAATTTTTAAAAATTCAATTACACAAATTTTCTACTCCTTTATTTTGGCTTTAACTATTTAAACTAAATAGAGGAAAGAATTATCAATATAGTATTAAAAATAAATTTAAATATCAACATTTTTCAATGATTATTATTATTATTATTGTTGTTGTTATTGTTGTTATTGTTGTAATAATATAAACCACAAACATCCCCCACAAAAAAAAATATCTGTGCCTTGGACATGAAAGGATTTTGAAATACCTGGTGAAAGATGATATATTAAAAGGTGGTGCTTGCTTTATCAGGGGCCCAATGTGCTAGTGAAAAGGTTATAATTAGGAAATGAGGTCTAAAGAATCATAGAATCACTTTGGTTGGAAAAGACCTTTGAGATGATGTGATGCCAGTCCTGAGGGGGGAAGTTCACAAAGAATGTACATCCTACATATAACTAAAGCTGAGCAAACAAAGTCTTATTTTAGCATTTTCTAGCTTTGGAGTTTCCTATTTTTGCAATGCTAATCAGAAGAATTAGCTTCATTTCAAATAAGCTATGAATGTGACTGCGCAAAATTCTATTTTTACCACCACCCCCCCACAACCAAGTTTTTGCAAGTGAGTGAGGATACACAGCATGTGAACAGAGTAAAGATAAAGATGTTTATGCAAAGCCACAATGCACTATGACACACACCACTAAGTATTCGGCAGATACAAATAGCAATGAAATTCTGCACAAGGACTGAAGAGGAAGTGGAGCCTAAACTAACGTGTGCTTGATTACTAAGAAAGTAATCATGAAATTATATAGTTATTAAGATTGTGACAATAAGACCACCCATTCTGCAATGGCAAAGTGATTTAAAAAAAAAAAAACCTTACAGCAATAAAAAGCATCACTCAACCTCAACTAGGTTTATGAGAACCCAGGAATCTAAACATAAAAGCAGCACCACGCTAAGAAATCTAATGCACAATAGGGTAGGCTATTATTTTTTACAGTGAGGGTGGTAAAATGCTGGAACAGGTTGCCCAGAGAAGTTGTGGATGCCCCATCATTGGAAGTGTTCAAGGTCAGGCTGAGTGGGACTTTGATCAACCTAATTTAGTGAAAGATGTTCCTGCCCACTGCAGTGCGGTTGGACTAGACGATCTTTGAAGGCCCCTTCCGACCCAAATAATTCTATGATTCTATAGGTGAACAAATCTGAGGGCTGGAAAATACACCAGTGAAGACAAATGCCTTGCTTCAGCTGATGTACTTTAGGCCCCATGTTACCATTACATTTTCCTAGTAATTGTGATAGCTTTGTCAATATTAATTCCACAGGGGCAAAAATTTCACACACCGGTCAGGTGCATCAAGAGCTTCTGCAATATTTTTCTGATTGAAGAACTTGAGTAATGACCAGGGTAACGCTTGGCTCAAATACAAACAAATGACAAACCGGACACGCTACATGTGGGCAGCATCCCCTACAACCGAGATAGTAGTATGACAAAACCACAGACATTTCTTTCAATATTACTATGGAGAGCAACACAATTACCTTCCTGTATTAAACTTCAGAAGACAGTGGTTCATAAATTAACTGTGAAACTACTAGCTTGTAGGTAATGCACAGTTGTTAAGACTTTTTCTTGGAAAACTGTTCTGCACTAGTAAGATCCAGCAAAACACTAGCTGAATTTATTTTAAAATAGTAACATAATAGAGGGGTTCGGATAAGTTTGCTGCACCTCTCAGGTCCTTACCCCCAAATTGGGCTATATATCTACAGTAGCAGTATGATGGCCTCTACTGCAAACGCCCATTTCATCAGCTTTATTTCTGGCAGAACTATATACGTAAATAAATGTGTTGTGTACAAAGATCTCATACCTTTTATACCTGCTTGAAACCATCCTGGAGGAGTCCTAAAAGAAACAGAAGGGGAAAACTAATTAACACTGTTATTGTATTTGCACTTCCAAAATACTTTATCACTCCATAGAAAATGAAGCCTGCAGTTAAGAGCAGGAGGCCCATGCCTCAAACAGCTGCTGTACAACTTCGTTTTGCACTATTTTGCTGTTGGGAATAAACAGAATACCAGGATTACTGTCACCATGCTACTGCTTCTGAACATCAGCTCAGAACCCTTAAACAACAGCTTCTGATTACATCTTAAAACTGGATGCACTTACTCTGTCCCCCAGCATCCAGAACATGCAGCTTACCAGAGCAGTATACATCCTGCCACCAATACACCTTCACTATCACTGCTAATACAGAAACACTTGTGCACTTTGCTGTTCCTCTACTTGCCCAAGAGCAGCAAGAGCAAAACCGTTCTGATTCTTCAGCACCATTGCTGTCCTTCTGGACGGAACTAAAACTGAAGCCAGCAACTAGTACAGGGTTGAGACACAAATCAATTTATTACGTACATATCGGCTGGGTCATGGTAACTACAGGTATGCTCTTCGCCATGCTAACCCAGGTTTTGCAACCTGGCTCACCTCAGTTTCTCTCAGGCTAACTGAAGTGGTCTTCTCCTGGCACTTGCTGTTAAGCAGGCAGGCTAGAAGTCTGTACGGGAATGTTTCATGCACGCTAATGTCAGACAGGGACTTGTCAAGCTATGGTAAAGCTGATTTTTGATCATTGCTTTCCAAGCACTTGCAGAAGCTTAATCCATTCTGACTACAAATGTAAAGAATACTCTGCATATCCTTTGATTGCGCTTTGGAAATTATCTGAACAACTGAAATAGCAAGAAACAGAACATATTTTAAATAACAGTGCACATTTTAAGTAAGAGTTGGAAAGTGCAGAAGCTATGCACCTGGCCCTTCAAAGACAGATACATACATGTATTACTTGCAGATTACAAGTCTTACCATATATTTTCTAGCTTAAGATAAAGAATTTCATTACTTTTCAGATTCCCACAATGCAGTAAGATGTTCTCACTATGATTACATTTTATTTGGTTTTTTTTTTGTTGGGTTTGTTTTTTCATTTGAAAAAAATCTATTATGCTTTTATTCTGGCTCTGTAAAGATGGAAATGGAAACAAAAAAAAACAGTGGGGAAAAGGACTCATTTATTGTTACACAATCCCTGAAAAAACATCAATGCATTATATACAAATAAGAAAACCTGAAACAATATATTTGCATCAATAATGCTATGCTTGAGGCTTCCCAATACCAGTCGGATCACACAGAAAAATTAAGACATGTTTCAACTGGTAAATGATGGCTCAGATTAGACATGGTAAGTCCACAAACATTTTTTTGGATGTTGTAAAAAGAACACAGACCAATTATTTTATTAGTCATAGACAAAACTCCCCCCAGCATCAGGAAATATTAGGTAAAAAGTCAGGAAAGAATATTTAAGGACGTAATGAATGTCCTTTGCTGGACAAAAGAATGGCAAAGCATGAAATTCTGTCTGTTTATGACCCTAACTGCAGACAGAGGAATAATGGGATCTCAAAACAAGATGCAAGAGAAATTCCATCCCCTCTGAAAGTCCTACAAAACATTACACTACCTTCACTGATCAGTGTATTAATGTCTAAGTAAATAAACAAGCTAAAAAAATAGGATTAAAATAATATTTTATTATAGAAAATAAAGTTGACAAAAAATATTTGTATAACAGAAAAAAACCTTCATCTGAAAGCACATTTTATTTTATGAAGCATTTTCAACTTCTGCAACATGTGCTACACTTTCCCTAATATAAGAAGAACAACAACAACAACATTCAACAAAGTTAAGTCATGGGAATTATTTGAAGAAACCCACAAAATGTTGTAAAATTCCTGGTTTAACTTGGTAACTATTTTATCATTGGTGACAGCATCTGAAAAGTAGCAATTCACAGCTATGAACAGCAACCTAATTTCACCTCTAAAAGGGCAAGGAAACAGAATTTTAAATGGTACCAATGCTATTTTTAAAGTTTACTAAGGGCACGTTATCTTTGAAAGGTCATGTCAGTAGGGGGAGGTTTCTGAGGACAGGAAGGAAGTAAATGTCACTCCTGTCTTCAAGAAGGAAGATGCAGGGAACTACAGGCCAGTCCTTACCTCAGTCCCTCAATAGGTGACGGAACAAATCCTGGAGGACAAGAAGGTGAAACCAGCATGCATATATGAAGGGGAAATCATGCGTGACTGACTTGACAGCCTTCTACAAGGAGATGACTGGCTCAGCGGATGAAAGGAGGACAGACGATGTTTGTTTCGATTTTAGCAAGGCTTTAAACACCTTCCCACATAACACATGTATAGGCAAACTGCTGAAATGCAGACCAGGTAAGTAGACTGTAAGGTGCAATGAAAAGTCACTGGACTACCAAGCTCAAAGGGTTATGAACAGCAGCACGAACTCCAGCTGGACACCAGTCACTTGCAGGGGCTGATACAGGGGCCAGTACTGCTTAACATCTTCAGTAATGACCTTGATGATGGGACAAAGTGCACCCTCAGCAAGTTCGCAGACTACACAAAACTTGGATGAGCATTTAATAATACATCAGATGGCTGTGCTGCCATGCAGAGGGACAACAACAGGCTGGAAAGCAGCCTAACAGAGACCTCATGAAGTTCAAAAAAAGGGAAATGCGAAGTCTTGCACCTCGGGAGGAATAGTCCCCAGTACCAGTACATGCTGTGGGCTGGCTAGAAAGCTGCTGTGCAGAAAAGGACCTGGGGTCCTGGTGGACACCAGGTTGAACTGGAGCCATCAATGTGTCCTTGCAGCAAAGAAGGCCGACGGCATCCTCTGGATGTGTTGCCAGCAGGTCAAAGGAGGTGATCCTTCCCCTCTGCTCAGCCCTGGCAAGACCACAGCTGGAGTGTTGGGTCCAGTTCTGGGCTTCTCAGTATGAGAGAGACATACTGGAGAGACTGCAGCAAAGGGCCACACAGACGATTAAAGGTTTGGAGCATCTGACACATAAAAGGAGAAGCTGAGAGTGCTGGGACTGTTCAGCCTGGAGAAGAGAATGCTCAGGAGGTTATCTTGCCAGTGTGTATAAACACCAGATGGGGTAAAGAAGATGGAGCTATACTCCACTGTGCCCAGAGAAAGGATGAGAGGCAACAGACAGAAACTGAAATACAAGAAATTCAACTTAAACGTAAGAAAATACTTTCTTTCTGTGAGATTAAACGCTGGAGCAGGTTGCCTAGAGAGGTTATGGAGTTTCTATCTGTGGAGATAATAAAAACCCAACTGGCCACAGTCTTGAGCAATTTGCAATAGCTGACCCTGCTTTGTCCGCAGGCATTGGACTTGAGACTTCCTGAGATCCCTTCCAGCCTTAATGAGTCTGTGTTTCTGCTCTGCTCATCTGAGTTTTCTATCTGCACTCTACTCTCAGCTTAGTGTTTAAGTGAACACATACCTAACGTCTGGCAGCTCCAGAGGATTTCATTCTGCCCTCTAATATTGTTATCCAGGGACTCGGCTATCCAAACTTTTATATACAGAGGACTGTAACAGCCTGATTTTTAGCTTTAAGACGGTCAGCAATGACTGACAAGGTGATTTGACTCTGATTTATGTGAAGAGATTTGAGTAGTTTCATCTAAAACGTTAAGACACGTATTGACTGTATATGAAAACTGAAATGCCATATCAGTAATATCAGTATATACAGTAATATCAGTAATAACAGCTCTTGGTGGTGATGGTCTCAGAAACATCCGTAGACAAGTGGTTCAAATCTCTTTTTAAGCTTGGATGGAGAAAGAGAGACACATCGGTGTCTGGATCAGAATTTTGCCTAACTGTAGATACAACTCTTGCCAGTAAGTAGGAACTCTGTGCTCTAAACTTCCTCAGTTCTTATTTTTAAAACAGCTTTTTTAGGAAAATGCGGAAGCCTTGAGGTTATGGCCATAATTCCTGGTGAACATAAGCCTCTGCTTACAGTGGAAGGCAGAATTCACAAGAACAGGAGAATTTACATGTGACACTGCAGTCTAGTTAAGCACACATACCCTTGTACAAAGAAATCTCTGGATCTTGGATGCTTGTTTTCTATTCTAGACACCAAAGGGATGCAATGTATGCACTGCATACCCTCAAATATGCTCAGACCTTTTCATATAGTAAATGCAAATATAAGTCGTAAAGCAATTTATATATACAGCCTTGTACATTTACCTCCACAGGAGACTTCTAAAAGTTTGGCAGTACTATTCAGAAAAGCCAGTTCTTCAGAAGAAGAAAGCTGGGAAAGCAAACAAATGCTCAGGGACAAAGCATGGCAAATACTCTCATTTGCTACAAATGACAGCTGTTAAAACTAAAAAAAAAAGAAAAAAAAACCACCAACCCCACAATTAATTAGCCCTTTTTTCTACAGTAAGTATTATTGGGTTTTTTTATTTTTGTATTTAAACTACCTATGAACAAAAAGTTAAAAATACACATCTGATGCATAAAAACAATCTCCTCTGATAACCAAATTAATACTGCAGATTTGGTAAACTGTGGCTTTTATTGTTCTGGAATCTCTAATGTAAATGCAAACCAATAATTCTTTAAGGTGATGATGGCAGCACCAGGGAAACATTATCTCTGTTCTCATGTTATGAAATTTATTTGGCATGCCTTATTTATACAAAAGTTGTTGGGAACAGGAATATATGTCGTTATACTATAAACAGCATCACGTGTCTATTAATCACAAACGAATATAAGTTTCAAACTATTCAATAGCTCTTAAAATGAGGCAAACATCTCTTATGATTAAAGATCTTGTCTCCTCCACCACTTTTGGAAAAGACAAGGTTGGCAGAAAATGAAGAAGCAGAAGGAAAAAGGAGGAACATTCCTGTTCTGCAATGAATTAACCTAAAAGCAGATGATTAGGCATGTATATAAATACTAATTTACAAATATTGCTT